GGGGTGTGTGTCTCTCTCCCAGTCTCTGTCTTCTGGCTGAGGAGGCTGGATTCCCTCAGTACAACTAGTCTTGCTATTACAGATTGAGGCAAAGAAGGCATGAAGCACCTCAGCCTTCCCCTCATCACTTGTTATTGTGTTTTGTCCTGTGTGTAGCAGGGGATGTAGACTCTCCCTGGTCTTTCTTTTGCTGTTGACATACTTAATAGGAACATTTCTTGTTGTCTTTGATTGCTGAAGCCAAATTAATTTCCAGCTGGGCTTTAGACGTCCAGATTTCTGCCCTGCATAGCCTCACAGCATCTTTGTAATCACTGTGAGTACCTAGCCCCTTCCTCCAAAGGCTGTAAACTCTCCTTTTCTCCCTGAGTTCCAGCCAAAGCCCCCTGTTCAGCCAGGGTGGTCTTCTCTGTCACTGGCTTCTCTTACAGCACCTGGGGACCACCTGCTCCTGAGCCATTAACACTTCCTTCTTAAAGAGTGTCCAGCATTCCTGGACCCCGATATCCTTTAGGACCATCTCCCAAGTGATCCTTTCAAGCAGGTGCCTAAACAAGACAAGTCAGCCCTTTGGAAGTCCAGGATGTCAGTCCTGCTTAGCCCTCTCCTGGCCTAAGAATAGAGAACACCATTATTTTGTGATCGCTGTTCCCAAGTTGTCCTCCAGCCACGACATCATCCACCAGTCCTTCTCTGTTCACAAAGAGGAGATCCAGCAGGGCACCTTCTCTGGTTGGTTCTCTCACCAGCTGTGTCAGAAAGTTGTCTCCCACACATTCCAGGATTCTCTGAGACTGGTCCCACTCTGCTATGTTCTCAATTCAAATATATTACTCCTGGAGAAGGTTATGTATGCCTCTTGGAAGTCATTAAATGGAAATGGAAGGATGAATCTACAAAAACTTAGAGGCTTGACAGATTTACATTCGTGCTGTCTTGTGTTTCTAAAATAAGTCAATATGCACTGGTTAGTAAGTTTGAAAAGCATAGAAATAATTAGTGAAGGGATCACTTATTTAAGGTCATCTTTCAGAGTCTTATTGACCACTTCAGTTAGTCACAGCCAGTTTTTACAAGGTTTTTAAGCACCTAGCCCTCACGGGAATTAAGCAGCAGATTAACTTTAAGAATCTGCTTCTCAGCACAGGATTTTCTTTCACCTGTGGCTGAGCCTATGACCTGAGTGCAGCAACAGCTTTCTGACAAGCTCAGCTTCAATCTGGGTAACAGGCTTGTCTTCAGAATTAAAACGTTATGCCAGATGTACAGATGGTAGTGTCTGCTTCCCTCATTTAAAGTGAACAAATAAACACATTTTTCTTTTTTAACATGCAAGATAGATCCCCTCACTGTCATTTAACTGGTAAGTAGTGTTCCCATTAATACAGGTTGTTTCAGTGACATGACTTCTTGGCTAATCGTTCAGATATCAGTGATTAGCAGAAATGGGAATGAAAAGGAATAAAGATATTCTAGACCAGAATTTTAGATTTTCTGTTCCTACTAGTGTAGCTACGCACATACTTGCACTTAAAATTTATCCCTCCTCCCCTGCCAAGAAAAAAGTTTAAACTGAATTGAAAATTTAGTCTTGCTATGACATTTTGGTATCAATATATATCTTGGCATCAACTGTTTTTTTTTTCATGGAATGAAATTAAATGAAATGAGATGTGCTTGCTATGAATAATTTTTACTGTTTTAAATTGTAGATTCCACAACTTATGCACATTTTCTGTTTAACGCATTTGACACTGACCACAATGGATCTGTAAGTTTTGAGGTAAGTAATACTGTTACTTCTTTACCTGCTATTGAATATTTTGCCATTCCTTGTAATTAAGACCAGTTTGGTGGCTTTTATTATATGCCTCACATTATGAAAAATTGAGCTTATGTGACTCAGGCATCAAGTTCTTCCCAAGTATTAACAAAAGTTACTATTATTATTTTTTGTATATCAATTGTATATCAATATGGTAACTCAGACTGTGCTGCTATGTAATATTTTTATAAATCTGCTAATTTAAAAGGTAACCCAATTTATATGCAAGTTACATAAAATAATCCTTATATTCCTCCCTGCCTCTGCAAGGTGAGAAGGACTCTGAACTACAACTAATGTTATGGAGATGAGCCAGCCAAAATAGGATTGCTCACACACTCTATTAGTTTCCAGAAGGCTCTACAAAAAAAACCCCAGGCTTTAAAGTAAATGTGTTTAAAAGCACAAGAGTTTGAAATTAATTCTTTCTCTATTTAACTGTCCAATCTGTTTTCAAAATTCTGCCTTTCCTTGATAAGGCTGATGTCATCAACGCAATAACATGGTAAAAAGGCCAACTCACCTCAGCGGTTTAGATGAAAACAGGGTGTACAAAATACTTCAAAGGAGACATTATTTTAAAGTATAGAATTAAAAAAAAATTTAAATCTCAGTTCATTTGCAAAAATATATTTGCTTTGTCATGTTTTGCTTAGTTTTATTTATAATGGATGGATTATATCTTTTCAACTTGAGATTGGATTGTGATAAATACATCCACTTTAACTTTGTTTATATGTCCTATACATTTTTTTTATGACTTACTTGAGTGAATGATGTTGTGAGGTGTGACAGAAATCTTTTTGAAAGCATTTTCAGTTTTGTTATTGACAGAATGAGAAACCTCGCCAAGCAGGTGCACTGTGATCAGGAATCTATACCTCAACTGGGACTGTAACTGGATCGTTTAGTGGGGGATTATTTGCATCTATTTAAAAAAAACCCATGAACCTCAAGTACCTTTTTCTGGGCAGCTGAAATTAATGGGCTCCATGTGAAGCTAGAACCAGGAATGGAGGTTTTATTCACATCTTCTGTACATAGGCTAATTGTACAAGGATCCTTCTGGTTAAATCAGCAACAGCAGAGGCACTGAGAAAACATTTTTAGCATCAGTATATGAGAAGTATTTCTGCTGTTATCATTAAGAATAATGAGAACAAAAAAAGCTTTTGTATCTTCCCAGGACAGGTTGTTGACATTTGTATCTCAGACAGAAAGCCTTAAGAAATGCAGTATCCCTTTTTAAGGGATTTGAATATCTCAAAGTGCAGGTCTGTGTACAAAAAAAGGCTTTGGAATAAAATAAATCAGGAAAAGAAAAGAAGCAGTGGGTTTGGTTTGTTTTTCATTGCCAAACCAGACATTTCCAGCATACTGTTGTTCCATTTCGACTCAGAGTCATCCAGACGTTGATATTATTTGCACTAATTGTGGATTCAGCATAACTCTAGTGCTTTCAAGACTCTTGCTTCTGTGTCCTTGTACCATGTAGCAGCATTATACTTACAAACTGTATGAGAGCCTTTATAAAAACCTCCTCCTTATGTTAAAAATGTTTAGTTTTTTTTCTAATAATGTTAAAGTAGCTGCAAAACATGAAAGTGGATATTCTGAAATGTGAAAAATACAATCATGTCATTTTTTCCTGCTGATTTGTATTGTAGGTACAGCTGTGCCATATTCTTTCTATACCAATCTGTACTCTAGTTTTCTAATTTCCATTAGAAAGAAAAAAACCAAACAGCACAAAAGGTAGAGAAAAAGGAAGTGATTTAAAAATTTTGAGAATAAATAATCATTCACCCCAATTTATTTTCTATATCAAAGTGTAGGAGTAAATACAATTTAATATTATGACCTATGATGAAAAACACTCTTCAGCTCTCTTCTCTGTAAAAAGGGTATGAAAATCTGAAACGGTACTGAAAGAATGTTAAATCAGAATTACATTTTCTGCATTGCACTCTCCCTTTTCTCATAAAGCAGTGGTAGTTGGAGTTGTAGGGAAGAAGAAAGAGGGAATTTATTCTAGCTTTTTTTTCTCTTTTTCCCTCAAACTTTCAACCATCAACAACAGTTAGACTTTAGCACAACTTAAACGCACACCTTCATTAGAGGGATTGCTTGGTGAGATTGTTATGTCCTTAGAGTTTTGTCATCCCTTAATCTGTATACTCTCTGATAAAAGTCAAGGTCTTCAACTGAATCATTCTATGTAGCATTAAAAACCCCTCATGAAACTAGCTACTTGAACCATCTTCTATTTATCCCATGATTGTATGAATTCTGAGACTAATCTGATTAGTTATGTCAACTAGTTTTTCTTTAACATGAGGGACAAATAGAGTTGCAGACAACCTAGTGACCCAGCTATTGAAGGGCATATTAATGAACTGAAGTTCTTTTTTCCATCAGAAAGAGAGAGATGTGAAAGCAAGGTTTCCTCTTGCTGCATGAAGTGTAACTGAACCAAAATGAAGATGTGGAACTCAAGGCTATTTACAGAGTCAGGAAAACTGAGGCTAATTAACTTCAGATATATATAGTCAAAGCTAAAGCACATTGCACATATCCAAATCGGTCTCCTTAGTTTGTTGTAGATGCATACTGAGGTTATTCTAAGTGTGATTCCGATGAGAAAAAAGTCACTCAGTAATCCCACTAATTCTCAGTGCCTTGAAGTACAAAGCTGTGCCCAAATTCAATGGAAATGTTTAAAGACTTTTGTCATTTTTAATAAGAAACAAACTTGTATTTGTCCAAAAATGATTAGTAATTCTTAGCAAAGTTGGTGATTTTCTGATTGCTTTATTACTTGTTACCTGATAAATTTTCACTAATTATTAAATTAACAGGCATGTTGACTCAGTTCCATAGGGGACTCCAGATCTTAAGAACATACACAATTTTGGTATTTCACTCGTAATAACAGTGATAAACAATCATTGTCTCCAAGGCAGTAATATGAGGGTAGCAGTTTAATAAATGTATCCAAATGTGATTCTCTGCATTCAACACAAAAAGCCTTGTTCATGTTGTGTCAGAAATGAGCTAATTTTTCACAGGACAGTGTTGATCTCATAAGTATTTTAATACCAGCTGCTGTAAAGTAGCTACAAAGAAATATAATTCCTCTTAACAGCAGCTCCTCCTCAGTGGTCTTTTCTTACGCACACCAGGGCTCCACCACCTCTGTGACTAACATTCATCACTTGATTCATTTCCAAAATCCTAAAGGCTTAATCCAAAAATGGATTTAGGTGCCTGTCTATCTACTTCTTTTGAACATGACATAAAGGAACACATGATTAGGTAGAATAATTTTAAGCTTTCCTATTGATTTGAGTCAGCACACTATTAAGCTTGTTAATTAATTTATTAATGATCTAGTTCTCCCCAAAGATTTACTGAGGGATAAAGCAATCAGAAGGCCATCAACAACTTTTGTAAGAGATAATTAATCACTGCTGAAAAAAACCCGAAATACGAGTTAATCCCAGATGACAACCAGGGGCTCTGTACAGCTGTAGTGCAGAACTGAAGTGTGAGCAGGCTGTGATACTGATGCACAGAGGCTCCAGTACTGGTGCAGCACACTCCGTTTTGCAACCCTTCCGTGAGACATCCCTCTGTCTTGCAGAATCAAAGAAGTTAGGAACAGGAGAGTTTGGCATGTAATGGAGGTCTTCATAGGTAATAGCAAGCTCAGCAGGAAGCTACCACATTAGGAAACTGTGGAAGGGAGTAAAGGCAAGTATCAAAGCACAGACTTCTGTGTTTCTAATTTCTCTGTCACAGACTGAAGAGAAACCTGACCTAGAGTTGTGTCTCAGTCCAGTCTAAAACTCCAGAGTTTTAGATTCCTTTGTAAGCCTAGATCAGATGCACCTCTCCTCACTAGGTGCCTAGCTGAGTGGCACTGTCCCTTTCAGTGGACAGTGTTGTCATCCTTAGGGGATATAAGTGTCCAAGCAGTACTGTGAATCTTACTTCAAGAATAAATACGCTCTAAAAGCAGAATTTCTCACCCTCCAGAAATCACTTCTGAGGAAGGAAAACACGTCTGGGTACTCTAATACTGTAATGAGGACTTGGGTTCGTGCTTTGTGCTAAACGGTGTGACTGATTGATGTGTCACTGAGTTGTCAGTAACAAGCATATAGACAGACACTTTCTGATCTTAGTGCTGAGCTAAGCTTAGCACTGTTGTTTTACTACATCATTCTGTGCTGGATTACAAGCTTAACAGCTAGTATAGCTACACTGCTCTTGACACACACATCACCTTCCACCATGCAGAGCATTTTTCTCTTTGAGAATCTAACCTAAAATACCCTGTGGATTTAGCCTATGTCCACTGAATTGAATATTCTATTTCTATATTATTTTATTGCACTATATTCTTCAATTGCGTGAAAGTAAGTTTGTAGAAAATCTATGCCATCCTAAGTGGTACTTATTCAATTCATCACAAATTCCTCTTAAGATAAATCCTTTCTGTTGTTCCTGAGATGGACTTCTGCAGAACACTCAAACAAAGGCAATGCACCTGAACTATGTATGATTCTCCAACATGTTGATGAAATATGAAAGGAGATGACCTGCCCTTGCAAAGTTTAGAGCACACATCTGGAAGATTTTTGAGTTGTCTCAGCTTTTATAAGGACATTCAGCACCATACGAAACAGCATAAAGTCAATTATTTTTTTTATGCATAGCTTTTAAAACCAATGATAGAAGGGCAGCCTTGCAAATGGGGATATAAATGATGCCAGGAAGCCAACTAACATATGGGTGGTGCATCACAGAAAGGAAGAAAGAGAAATAATCTGGAAAAGATAAATAGAGATGGTTTAGATAGAATAAATACAAAAATGTTGCTGGTGCCAAATTAAAAATAAATTCAGAGTTCTGAAATATAATACTCTAAGAAAATCAAGTTATTGGAGACCTTTGCAAATGATTTCAGGAAAATCTACGTCAAGAAAGTAAAACAGTGCAGAAAAGATTTGAAGACATGGTACTGAATTAAAAGGGTTAATTGCTAATGCTGTAATGTGGAAAAATCTGTTCTGAATTTCTTGAACATTTTAATACTTAATAGTACATTGTTAAAGGTCTGTTTGGAGATTTAACCCTGTGACCCTCAATTAGTCATTGAGCTCTAGACATGACATGTTGAGCAAAACTCTTTCAAGATTCATGTATCTGTTTACCCCAAAGGGCACATATACCAATAAGACACAAACTTATGACAAAGAAAACCCAGAGCATACCACTTGAATTGTTAATAAGACTGAAGCTGCCAAAGGAGCTGTCTGTGCCTTCTTAGACCCTCTGAGGCCATGACATCTGTGTATGCTTGACTGTATCAGGCATACTTATTTGTGTGGTGCACCAGACCTTTGTAATTTATGTCGAACCTCAGTGCAGTCTTTTCCATTGTTCCTCTTTTAAAAAAATGCATAAACTTTGCTGGTGCTGATAAGAAATTTTTCAGCTTTTATTGTCTGTAATGTTACTCTAAGACTTCCTGTATGTCTTTGCCAATGATGTAGAAATGCACATTTAAATATAAGCTCTTGCTGTATTGTGTTCAACCTATTATAGAGAAAATTTCACAGATTTATGGGTTTACAAGCTTATCAAATATAAGAAGATGGAGGAGACAGGAAAAAAGAAGCTACTGTTTAAAAAAAGTTAACATGCTAAGAAATACTGATGAAGTACTGAAGACAGGTGATGAGACATCCCAGTTGATATTTTCTTCAATCTGGAAGATGGTCTCTAAATGTAAATGAGGTTCATGCTATCAAAAGAGTATTAATTATGATACAAAAATTCTATAACCAAATACATATAAATAATCTCAAAAGTCTTCTGATTTTTTTCTGTGGAATAGCTCTACAGCAATAGAGCACTGGTGGGTCACAAAAGCATTAAGGTAGTACATGGTCATGTAATAAATGTTAAAAGGTTTGAAGTATTGGGGTGTACTGTAGCATACACAAAGTTTCAAATGTTGACTGCAGCAGATTGATCTAAGGTGTCTGGGAACCAAATTCATTCCACTTCCAACAAGGTAGAATGTTAAATCTTTAACAAGCATTTAATGTTCCTTAGTAGATAGTTCTTCCAAAATTGGTCTCCTGTGCTTAGATTAATCTAACTCCCACTTAAGCTTTTTTTTTGGATCATTAAACCACGAGGATTGCTTTTCCCTGGTATTAAGTTCAACAGGAACTGCTTATATAAGGCATTTCAGAGAATAAATCCACTAACAGAAAATTATGGTTTATTTTATAGAAAATTACTCAATTTATTAATAATGAGTGTAGCAAACAGTACCTAGATTGTTAATCGTTTAAAAAACCCAGCAACCCTTAACACTTACTGTGAGGCAAAAAAATAGAAACACATTTTTCCAGGCTTCTATGCCTTATTCTGGAATTTTATGTGTTTGTGAAAAACTGCTCAATTCCAAACTGACCAAGACCTTTTGTCTATCTAGGATTTTGTTATGGGTCTCTCAATTCTACTCCGAGGGACAGTACAGGAGAAACTGAACTGGGCTTTCAATTTGTATGATATAAATAAGGATGGATATATAACTAAAGAGGTAAGGTCTACTTTTTACACTAATCACTGAAACTAAAGGTTATATGTGTTAAGTTCTGCTTTCAGAGAAGAATGATTTCATTATCAAATTAGACATGTTAACAAATAATTATATATTAAACTAGACATGCTAAAAATAATTTTCTTATTTTAAAGGCATATATCAAACTTGAAAAAGGAAAATCTTCACAGAAATTGTAAAAGGTCAGAATTCTTCAGATACAGAAATGTTTGCTTCAACTTATGCCTGTGTATTTGCACATACAGTCACTAGAATAGTTTGGTAGGATATTTGGACAGAAAAGAATTAATTATGTGGGCTGTAATTGTTACTTATTTTATGAATCTACTTCTAGAAATTTTTACTTGTAACAGAATCTATATAAAAAGATTCCTACATCTTTTATTCTGCAATGATTCAAACACATACTTAAATTACATTGGGACCAAATGAATGCTTTCATGAAAAGATATGGTTTTTTTAATACTGGGTCCTTATGTAAATATATATATATTACACTTATAATTTTACACTTTTAGAAAAACACTTCATGATTATTATAAAAGGGTGATCTATAGAATAATTTCTCAGCATACTGGCAAATGACTTGTTTTTATAATTATTCTTATAGTTTTCACAGGCCACTCTATTAACAAAATCCGAAGCTTTTGATATAAAAGGAGGACTCTTTGATATATGCTGATGTGTGCATGGGTGTTTCTATTTTCTGTAGAGAAAACTCAGTCATACAAAGCTGATGTGCTTTGACCATTCACTTGCTGTTACAGAACTTCTTTTCCTGAAAGTTTAGTTTTATTCACAAGACCTCAGGAGATTCTTCTCACAATGCGTGAACTTGCACTTACTCTAAATAATTTAAAACCAAAATCATACATCTGCATCTATTTAACAAGTTTATATATGAAAGCTGAACTAAAATGCTAGAATTTCTAGGAACACAGTAGTTCCTTCCCAAAGCTACTCAGTCATAAAATAACAGGCACAATCTCAAAACTTTATTCTAAAATGTAAATCCTAAAAGTCATATGTATGTTCTGAGTTAAATCAGTCTCTACAACGCACTGTACACTGTGTACAGGCTTTTTTTTTTTTTTTTTTTTTTAAGGAAATGCTTGATATCATGAAAGCAATATATGATATGATGGGGAAATGCACCTATCCTGTTCTCAAGGAGGATGCGCCTAGACAACACGTGGAAACATTTTTCCAGGTGGGTCATGTAATAAAGGAGCCAAAAAGACTGCTCTGTTAGCAGGTATGGAAAGATTTTCATTGTAACAGTTTTGCATATCCTACCAATTTTGTAATCCTTTTTCTTTGTGGTTCCACCCCAGGTTTCTCAATTCTACTCATTACACCTTGCTTTTTCAACCACAAACTCCTTAAGCTTATTCTACTATATCACTTGCTACATCTTTACAGCATTTTTGCCTGTTTGTTCCTAGGCTGACATATAACTGAAACAAATAACAGAAATTACTTGTTTTACACAGGATTTCAGGAGGATAGTAAACATACATTCTTATTCTTTCTGAACAGAAAATGGACAAGAACAAAGATGGAGTAGTTACCATAGATGAATTCATCGAGAGCTGCCAGAAAGTAAGTACCCAATAAGTACTGAATCTGTTGGCTAATGCTATCATAGAGCTACATAGATTTCTGGAGTGACACTGATGGTAATCTTAATACCAGAGACAGTATTTTCCCAAGGAAGAGTATGTATGTACACCATTACACAAAACCACTAAACAATGTAAATAAATTTGTGACCTGAATCTGTAGAAGAGATGTTATATGCAAGCTGTCATTGCTTATTAGAAAACTGTGTCCACATCCCTTCTCTCTTTTAACAGTGTTTTGTTTGTACTTGTTAGGGAAAAGTTTCTTCACAATCAGAACCATGCTGGGGAACACATTACTGTTAGAATTGGCATATAGTCACCACAATAATAATAATATTGCTTGAAAATTTATCATCTACAAGAGTGTTTCCTCAAACAGCAAGTCATGACCTGCTGGAGGCCTTAAAAAGGGAGAGTGCAAGAAGCTTGCAAAGTGTTGGATGGCAGGAATTAACAGCAGGCAACTTTCCTCAAGGCAAGAGAGTGAGAACTGATTGTGATTGTGATTATTGGTTCCAACTGTTTATGCACCTCAGGTGGCTGTGATTCTCTGATTTTAATCCACTGATCCAGCTCTTCTAACTGTGGCTGTTCTGTATATCCTTAGCAATGGGTATTGAGTGGTGTCTTACCTGTCAGCAGCACTCTATTGCATTGGCTATGGTTCTAGTTGGTGAGTCTTGTTCAATGGGAATGAAAGGTATTTGCTCTGCTAAAGCTGAGTGATCATCAGAAACAGAGATGAGATTCATTTACCAGCTGAGGTCTGCAGAGTTCTGGAAGTTAAATGACAGATTAATCTGGGTATGACAGCAATTAAGGTGATGGGCTGAATGACTATTTTATGAAGAAAAATAGTACCTTCAGAAGGAACTGCCTGCTTTCCTCTTCCAATATGTGATTCACAGTTTTTCATGTCTGTTAGGTGATTTCTTATTTACCTCTTCTGAGTATTCAGACTACATGTGAGAGACACTGTTCTCGTGGTGTGACTTACCTCACCTTCACTATCTTTTAATATCAAAGGTGGTAATGTTTTTGTATCTTGCTGCCTAAATTTTTGTCTTTCTACCTGCTGTGCTTCTATTAAGACCTCTGAGCTGCAAAGTGTGTAATTCATGTTTATATCAAGATTTGGTTTCAGAAATGAGGTATGGGGTTAGGATTCAATCCAAGACCTCCAAGAAACTGGATTCAGGAGTTACCGTGGCTTCAGCCTGTTCAGGATTACATTTTTCACAAAGGACAGTAGTGGCTGCTTCCTTTTAAAACAGCTGTAGGAAAACTTTTTGTGTCCTAATAGGACTGATCTAAAAAGGTAGGATTTCTTTCTTTCCTCATCATGCAGTGAATCACATCACTCCAGGAGTGAGGTGTCTCATCTTTCATGAGCATTTAACAATGCCAAAAGCAAAACTAAATAATCCTGTGATCCTTCCTGTAGTAAATTTGCTTGTGTTTTATAACTGTCATGCAATATTTTTATGTTTTCCCTGTTTTCTGGTGTTATGGGAATAACAGTAGTTATCATTATTGCCCTTCATTCAGTATCTCTTTTCTAAGCTGCAAAGTGCTCTATCTATTCAATTTTTCCTCCTAGGGAAACTTTAATCACCCTTGGCCCTCTCTCTAGACCACTACTATTACTGCTATTACCTTCTGCTTACCAAAATCAGGACAAGGGCACAGCACACCTGCTGCTCCCTAGGCTTTCACAGCTATGACCCTCTGTGACATCTATGAACCCTCCTTTGGCATTAAGGCTGATGTTTGAGCACATCTACTCAAAATCTTCCCTGCCAGTTTTCCTAAGAAATGGCTGTACTTCAGACCTTGGAATGGGAATGCCCATTGATGAATATGGCAGTTGGAGCCACATCTGGTATGTGTGAAAATATGCTAAAGGCATACAGAGGGTATAATTGCCAGTCCTAGCTCAAGCTGTGAGACTAAAGTCAAAACACTGCCAGGAGGCAACTGTAAGAAACCCTCAACCAAACTCTAAAGCTCAGATCCTATCCAGTCTGAACCTTAAAATGGACTAGAAGCTTGTTCTGACAGGGAAAGGCAGCAGGAGAGTTATATTTGAATGATGTCTCAGGCACGAGTTGCCAGTCTCTGAGAAATGTCATTCCTCTATTTTGAGTTGGAAGCCAAATTAGTGGGTCTTAGAGGTACATCCGTTTTACTGGTGTTTTGTAATAAGTAAGGAAAGTGTGGCATGCTTACTTTAAGACTGAGAAGGAACACAACAGAACGTATTTGTATACAGAGACTCCACTTCAGATTCCTCGGATATGTTCCTGAGATTTTTTTTGTAGCATCAAGAGTCTCTGGTGTGTTCTTAAACACTCATTATACACACGTGTGCCTTTTTTAAAAGGTTTGGCATGCCTATCAATGCGGTAGCACTGTACAGCCTGAGGTATACAGTAAGTTCAAGATTCTTTATTCACAGTCCCAATGCAAAGAATGGCCTGTCCACTCACAAAGTGTTGAACAGTTATGAGAGGAATTACAGAGCCTTCAGACTTCAAGTGTGGTCTTCTCTGGTCGCTGGGTATAAGGACGTATCTTTGCCCATGATTAAGAGAGGACAGCAAAGTTGCTTCCCCTCATTGTCCCTCTGTCTTGGATAGGGAATGTTTATGACCTGATTTCCCTGCCCTCTCTACCCCACATCCCACCCAGACTTCAGGAGTCTCCCTGCTCCCACAGGAGGAATGTACCATCCTGCCCTAGGTATGCTGGACCGAATCCCAGAAAGCAGCAGCTGTCTGTCCTGCTTTGTGTAAATTACCAAATAGCAGAGATAGGTCTTGGGAAATCATAGGATGGCTAACTCAAAGGCTAGGTGCCACCCAGTGCCTCACCTGCCTCCTTTCACTGCTTGATGCTGGTAGAAAATGGCCTGACTCAGGCATATCAACAGCAATACCATGAAGCACAGGACTAAGGCATGTATGGTGAGGTGAGGTGAATGTCAGGGTGAATGACTTAAAGGTCCTTCTGATAATGCTAAAAAAGCTTCTGGGATAGATACTTTCTGCAGAAGTAACCCACTCCATACACAATGCTGATGGTCTGTTAGCCTGAAAACAACAAAGGAGCCATCTCAAACCAGTAAGAAAACCTTTAAAGTTGGCTTGAAGGTAGGTCAGCTCTGGCAAAGCTCATTCATCCGTGTTTTGTCCTTCATATGTACTATGCTTCATATGCACTAACACCTCCTAATGTCTTGAGTTAGGAATCATTAAACAGATCTATTATGAAAAATTGTTTAGAAAAATGCACTGAAAAAAGGGACAAAGGAGATATACTTGCCAAAGAATTGTAATGCAAGCATCTGCCTTTTTTTTGAAGATGGAAAAAAAAGCTACTAAAAGTCACCATGTTGCAAATATTTTAACAAGCCTGTATTTTCTTGTGAAGACTCTTCCCATTTGACTGACTAAAGGAGGGGCATTGGAGGTCTTCTGTATAGAAACAGCAAACTTCAGAAATATGGTGCTGATTTTAGAAAGCTGCTAGTTTCATTAGCAATGATACATAGATTACAAAATTGGTAGGAAGTGTCAAACACTTTCTAGATTAAGAGCATGTTGTTTGTTTTGCACATTTGCTGAGCTTAGTTGCCAATGTATAGACAAAAAACATTTGTAAATAATTAAATGACAAACGATTCCAGTTAAACCAGACTTTAACCTCACATTAATCTGTGATCTTCAAGAGTACGATGATGTTTCAAAACAATGCAGTGGGAAAAAGTTAGTTTATTTTAATTCCCAGTAATTTAATATAGTAAATTTCCTATACAAACTTTTTAAGCATCAATCTACGTAACATATTTTTTTTTTAAATTACACATCATTGCTTTCATAAGTTAGTTTATCAGCACAAAATACTGTGCAGATCACTTCTTACAGCCACATCACTTGAGATGACATACAGAATCAAAGATAAAAAATGCCACTGTGCATGTTTCATAACATAAATTAAGAAAATTACTCAGACTTGTCATTTTCTACAAAGCAAATCACCCACTAGACTGAACAGTGAATAATTTAACTGGAAATTTATACTGAACATCTGTTATTGGAACATTAATGTACAGAAGGCCTACATATCTATTGGTAGCTGAGAATACTATGAGATAACCTTTCTAAAAGGGGGATTTTTATGCACCTTCTTCATTCACTTCCTAAAATACTCTATCAAATTTAGTCTTTTTATTGACTGGAATGATTATCTCTTGAGAAAGTACTGAAGGGTATGTATTCAGATTAAAACAGAGGATCATTACAGTGAAGACCAGTAAATGCAAAGAGCATGTAATATACTCTTGTACTGTATATATATTGTACTATGCAACCAACTGTTGATCCAGAAGTACCACTAAATATGGGCTACTACAAGTAAACTCTTTCTTCTATACATTGAAAGGTAAATCTTACAAAAAAAAAAAAAAAAAAAAAAAAAAAAAAAAAAAGTGTCCTGACTGCTGTGGTTAGGAGTTACTTACTGATAAAAACTGGAGTAGAGTGATGTACTAGTAAGCATTATGCAGAACTTGAAAGTCAGAGGTTTTATTACCTGTGTAATGCAAAGCAATCAGAAGGCAGAAGTAACACTGGAAAGCTGTCAACATCTTTTTGTGTGAACACATAGAAGATGCGAGCTGAGGAGTCAGAGTTTTGCGGTGATATTTGAGGAACTGACCGACTCTGGTTCATGCAAAGATGCACACATTTTAGAGACATCCCGAGCTATGCAATAGGGTGCCCCAGAATTGCAAAAAGGCTCCTGTGTACAATACACAGCACTAGAAATTTCATGTATGGATTTACAGTTCAGACACAACAGCTACTCCTTCAGAATTTGTTGTCTACATGTATTTTGTTATACTGGATAGAAACTTGGAGATATTGCAGACTTAATTTTCTTAACATGCTTTCTTGACAGAATTGTTCTGGTTTAATTAATATATAAAAAACCTATTTAAGTGTAGATCAATTAACAGCCTTTTTCTACTAACAATTTCTCCAAATAACCTGAAAAATAATGTTGTTATTAACTAAAATACAGTTAGTTCTACCCAATTTTACTATAGATATTGCCCAGCTACATTTGTAATGGTGTATGATTTCTGGTTTTTTGTTGTCTTTTTTTTTACAGGATGAGAATATAATGCGATCCATGCAGCTCTTTGAAAATGTGATTTAATGAAGACATTAGGTCTACAACTAATGGACAAATATGAGCTATTCTGCAACATTATCTAAAAGATGGATATCCCACTTTATCATAAATAAAATTACTCAGCTTTACACTGAGACATGTATTATGCAAATAATTTTTTTATTATAAACTTTCCCAACAAAAGAACTTTCTAAATTATACAATTTAGCACAACAGTTGCAACTTAGTTAACAAGATCATTCTGAAAAGTCAGGTTTTTACTTCAAACCCAAACAAAATAAGACCTTACATTATGCAGCTTTATTACCATTCCAACCCCTAGATAAAATAGATACTATCACAAGGAGATTAAATAAATTCTCTTAGTTTTGCTACTTATTTGTACTGGATTAAGCTCCAGGTGTTTGCGTGTATTTCTTAAATCTTAGTTTCTAATTTATAAAGAGGTATTACCCTGTATTTTGTTTTCACATTTGTATGGTGTAGTCGTCATTTTTTTGAATAATACTTTCAGTTAAAGTGCTATAATCGATGTGCAATGCACAACTTGCTACAATTGCCTTTAACATTTGACTTGCTTTTCTCTTAAAAAAAAAAAAAAAAAGCCCCAAACCTAACAAAATAGATAACTTGAGAGGAAGAACTGTTATTGAACAAAAAAAAGAAATTGCTTATAGGTAGATATACTCCCTAACAAATATGAGTAAGCTTCTATCTATCACACCTAGTAAATCTGCATTTAATTTATCATTACATGAATATCAGGAGTCCTACATACTGTATTTCTAATTCTTCTTGGAAGTGTCTGCAAAGTTCATTACTTAAAATTAAGGATCTTCTGACTTTTCATGAAGAAACCTTAACTGGATCCTAACACCGTTTTCATGGGTACGTGTCTTTCGGTCTTTAATGAAGAAAAAGACATGAACTTCTGAAACTTCCCATTTCAGTCCTCAGAATGAGTATCACTATGTAGTAACATCTACTAATAATGACTGCTAGACAAGCTAACAGCTGTTTCAGCTTTTTGTAATATCTTTAATTATGAGACAGAATCAGAAAAAAATTGGAAACCTCAGCTGTATATCATCTATATGTGATAAATGCATTACCTTTTTTTAGGAACATTTCTTCATTAAGATTGGAGCTACCTGAATTCTGAACCTAGAAAGATTTTTCTAAAAAACTACATACCTAAAACCATAATATTGCCCCCCCATCCATGTAATTTTTAAGATATATTGTACACAGATTTTATGCCAATACTTTGAAATAGGTGAAATGCTATCAGAGATAGGCCAATCTTCATTGTCACATTGCTGCAGAAAATGTGAAAGGGGATTAACGAAGTAGAAAGAATGTTGCAAGCATTTTTTTGCAAAAATAAATCAGGTATCTATTCTGGTGTAGAGATGGGATGTTAGAAGCATGTTGAAGGCTGCTCTGCTATCACCAGTGTAGGATAAGAGTAGTACAATACATGTACACCTGAAATCTGCTGTAGCGTGTTTGTGTAAACTAAATGTGCACATTTTGTAAAAAAAAAATAATAAAGTAAACATGAAGAAAAACAAGCAGCATGGTCGATTTTTTTAGTTATTAAACAAATAATTGTAATTCTTCAAATTAAACATTTTTGCTAACAACATTTCTTTTTTTAAAAAAGCTTAAGTAAATAGGTCTTGAGTTAGCACAGTTCTGATCTTAGCAGAGATTGTAGCACAGTCCTGAAATAAATTTAGTTTAGCCAAGTAGTGGTAATTTAAAAAAAATTCTGAAAATGCTTACCCATGACAGACTTTTTTACTACCCTGTGCAACAGCATCATCTGATGACTAGAAAACCACCTTTCAACAACTTTAAATTCTGGAACTGAATTTACCTCAGGGGAAAAAGTTCTACAGCAAGTTTTGTTACTTCAGTCAGCTCTTCCTCACAGAGCAACTCAAATATCTGTAACAACATGAATTCTGAACAGTATTTATTACAAGACCTGTTAGGAGTTATTTTGCAATCAAGTTCAAATATGTTCATGAAGAAACACTGCACTCTACAAGGCTTGTCAGCCAGTTAAGCTTGCTTCTGCAATGTTTTTACTGTCTTTAACTCATATTTTTTTCATAGCTTCCATGTTCAGAAGTTTATTAGCTTGTCTGGAGCTGAATTCACAAGCTAGTCCCAAGCATATTTGTGACATTACAGAACTCAATGCAAAGGGAGCACAGCGTAAATCCTCCGAAGTTGCCTCCTACCTCTAGCTCACATTCAGTAGGCTCAAAGCTAACTGGAACTAATTAGTCAAGCAAATCCTAGGCTGTGGCTCTATGGAGCAACCTGATACCTTTCTACTGTACTATTCAGAACCTTGCCAGCTTCTCAAAACAGTGTGCTGAGAATAATGCATTGAGCAAGTTCAGTTTTGCAGCATATGCTACCTGTTTAGTGCGTTCAGCTTCGTAGCTTTAAAAGCTGACTCTCAAGAAGTCTAGGAGTGCTCATAGTTCTATGTCTCATCCAGCAAACCCTGATGAACCCAAACTGCATCCATCTGTGCCTGTGGCACAAAAAAAATTACAAGTTTCAAAATATATATGTAGTTTAACACAAAGTTAGTTATTATTTAAGTAATTACAGCTACATTATTTTACATCACAAAACCATACAAAATAAATTAAGCACTACAGCTATATTAAAGGAAATTATACTTTACAACGTAAGAATCAATATTTACTCTGTTTTTGAAATAATAGCCAGTAGTCCACGTCATTGTAAGCACAATACATAAACAAATAGCAGTCCATAGAGAGAGCGCATTATTTTAAATAGTCTTCCATAATTACATATTCACAAACTAATACGACTTTTCCGACTCTCTATCATGCTGAAGAATTGTGATTATTTTAAGATTCATACCCCAAGTGTAAGTTATGTTCACAGGCAGTTTCTTTCCAAACTTCATCTTACAGTAAAATCACTACAATTTTCTTGTTCAAGAGAAGATAGAACAATAGGTTGGAATTTTAGATTTGATGATAGCCACAGTTGCCTGTTGATGCAAATAAACCAAATTTAAACAAAGTAAGGAGCACTAGCACTACATACGAGAGTATATATATATACATATATAGCCTCTATAAATTGCATAATTCACAACTTTTACTTAATTATCTTTGTTACTATCAAATAGTAGAAAACTAAAAAGTTAAAATTTGCTGAGAAATTTACTGTCAAAAGGGCTGACAAAATGAACCATTGTGATAACTAATGCTGAAGAGTAAACATCCAAGAAAAGATACATGTAAACTTACCTAAAGTACCCAGTACCTAAAACTGGGCATAAATATAGACATGAAATAATATGGATTTTTGAATAGTGGAGTGATATTCTGGAAAAGACTTCCAATAAAATTAAGAATCATATACATTATAACTCATTTAGAATAGAAATTTGCTTAATTCATTAACTGGATTATATAATATTGCTTGTAATCACAATTTAGGAGTTTGTTTCCAGTTTTCTGCTCTATCTTACATTAATATTTTAAAAAGACACACAGAAAGACCTACTCACAAATCAGTAAGACTACAAGAAATCAGAGGACAGACAGAAGAATTAGAGGTTAATGATTCACTGGATTATTTACGTTATCTAGACATAAATTTTCAGAACATCAAGATTATATCTCAGGACGAGAAAAGGAGACAAGACCTTTTCTTGTCTTGCTACATATAAATAAAAAACTCTCATGCTTCTTTATTTGTCATGGTGTTTTCAAGTCTGTAATATGAACATTGCTATTGCCCTTAAATGAATATGAGCACACATTAAAAAATGAAGTCGTGTCTACTGATTATTTGAGTGCCTACTGATTAAGGCCCACAGGCTCGGAACTGGTAGACCTCTATTTATGGTACCTACCCTTTAGGTTATTCCTATTCTTTATCAATGACCATTTAATATAATACATAAAGTGTTCATAGAGTCAAGAAAGCAAATAATTTTCACTTCTAGATGAATATTCAAGCCAATACTCTCACTTTTTCTTCTCTTCTTTCTGCACAATGTACAGCACAACAGAAAACAGCAACAGAATGTTCAGCAGAAAAATACTCTGCATTTATTACTTAAAGCATTTTTTTGATTTATAGCAATTGCAGATCTAACCTCTGGGTTAACCAGGGTGGGCTGGAATGGGAGTATCTAATTTCCTCAGTAGGTGACCTAAACAATATGCTATTAGTAGGAAAGAGTAGGCATCATCAACAGCAAAAAAAAGTATCTTTCAGCAGAAGTAAATCCTGTTAAGAAAAGTATTCAGGCTCAAAAAGGGGAACATGAAGCCTGCATCCCAGGTATACTGAAGCAAGACAAATATTCAGCCTGAGTCAGGTCTCAGTACTCTAGAAGGAGACAATTACCAATTGACATCTGGTGAATTCCTGGATCACTCTTCATAGGCATCTAGTCTACCCTATGGTCTGTGCAAGAAGCTCACATGCTTCACTCAGCATAAGCATCTAAGTTCTGCAATACCTAACTTGGAGCAAGGACTTATACTAGGCATCCTGGATCTTATTCCATGCAACTAACCCATTTGTCACACCAGTTCAAACCCTGGAAAAAAAATTTAGACTTTCTAGAGAAATTAAGAATTTTAAGAAAGAACAGCAAGTATCTCATTTAACCACTAAGCCTGCATAAGCTTCCCACTAAGGGCAATAAAATGTTCCAATCAAATATCATGCGTAGGGATCCACATGGATGCATACTTGCTCCTGAAAAGAGTTCTCCTAAATGGGGCTTGGTGTGCTGTGCTCTAAGAGTTCAGCCATGCAGCTGCTTATGTAGGTGTGGATCCCTTGAAATATTTAATGAGACATACTCCTGCACTTCCTGCTCAGAGATTAAAACAATGGAGAATACAAATGAAATGTGTGAGATAAAAAATGCGAGACAACAAAATCTAACTGGCAAAATATGGATTACTTAGAGTAGCTTTAATGCAATTTCTGTTACCACTTTAGTCAAACAGACTAAACCAACTCTTTTATTATGGACTGGAACACAACTGCTAATTGCCACAGTGCAAAATCCTGTGGTTTATCCAATATGAGTAGTTGCGACATGTAAAAATAAGCAGTTTTCAGAAGTGAGTTCTTAATCTGAAAGCCAGAGTTGGAAGTTGTTTTGGCAAAGCTGCATTCAAATGTGCAGATTATAGAACAATCACTTGATCAACTCACCTTCCCACCATATTGCTCCAACTTTTGTAAAGCAACAGTAATTTTTTCTCTAAATTTCTTGTGCATCAATCTCCTTGAAAGCTATTGGAAAAATAAAATCATAAAGTAAAATAAAAAGGGTTGCTGCACAGTATAGTACAATATATGCAAAGCAGTCAATATAATTGTATTTTATTGCTTTATTTCCTCTTATCTTTGTAAAATTAAACTGAAAAAACACATTGCTTTATAGCTTGTAACTGACGTCAAAATACAGAACTCAGTTAAAGTAAAAGGAATAAAAATGTTAACTGATGGTAAAAAAAAATCAAAGAAAGCTCAGCTGTTAGCCAAAAAGAATACTCATTTTTTGCTTCTGGCAAATAAATTTTAAAGAGGTATCAACCTTAAAAAAAGTAATTCTTAAAGTGCTGTCTGCATGACAATTTAAAACATTTTTCATGTGTGCTGAAAGAGATTTATTATATTTATTATTATATACTTTTAAAAAAAACTATTGCAATTTCACTCTTCTGCATTGGATGTCTAAAAGGTCCTTTTATTTGCTGTAAAAGTGCACTTCAGAAGCAGGCTAAATGAAACCATGTAAAGCCTGTCTGACAGAGGAAGGATGTTTACAGGACTCAATATAAAAATACTTTCCATAATCCTACTCTGAGTTTATTTAATGAAAACTATCTTGTCTAGAATTCCCATTTGAAAGAAGTGGGAATATTTGCCTATGTTAATTTTTTGAAACTTTCATGGATTTTAAAAAAATATTTACACTTAAAATGCAAAACTCATTTTGCAATAAACACAAACTTGCGTTCAAAACATAGCATCTATTTCACCTCAAGCTTGAAGCTGCATCTTTTTAAAATAGTAACGGCAACAGTTCCATTATTCTCCATTTTATATTACCAACAGGTTTTGGACCTTGCTAGAACTTTTTAAGTCACCATATTATTGTGGAATGATGAATATATGAAGTAATGCTTTTCACGGAACTGTTGAGCCCTCTGCTGTATCTGTGTAGATATTGTAGTAAACATCTCAACAAAAGAACCATAAAAATGTAGATGATTTTTTACTACAGCATTAAAAACTTACGTTTGTGAGTAGATGCTTAAGATGGCCATTAAGAGATGGGCCAACAACAGCACTCAGATGAACTAAAGCATCCAATCCCCTTCCAAATACCTCATCATCCGAATGGGCCTTCAGAGGGGCAAAAAGAAAATCCTGTCAGTAATATGCAGACAAATGCACAAGTTCTTCAAAACTGCAATCTCTACATTAGGTTTGAATATAGTATTTTTAAAAATTAAACCTACTGTGCAACTGCTAATTGTTATAATGTTACAAGTTTAGAAATACAATATGACTGAATATTAGTATCTAGAGGTAACATTTAAAAACAATTCTATTTTTGAAGTACAAAACAAAGGTATCCACAAAATGTCAGTGGAACTCTTGTATTTCTGAGACAAGGAAAATAATTTGTTATTGATGAAATAAAAAAATCAGCAGGCAAAACAGTTTACTACACGACGATTTAGTGCTTCACAGTGTATTAGAAAGAGCCCTTCAAATGGAGGTATGTTGAAACTGGGAGACAACATTTTAGTTACAAATGTAATGAATTCAGGGTCATTTCAATGTAATTCATAACAATAATTGTCTTTGTTGGAGAAACACAGGAGCCAATGACTTTCTAGTTCAATTAATTTAGTCCCCTGCCAACCACAGCTTTGTCACCTGGCAGTGATTATGAGGCTCTTATCTGCTCCTAGGGTGCTTTGTCATCTTTATTACTCCCATGGGAAGGTTCTTCTATACCTGAGTTCTCTAATGGTTTAGTGATCTCCCTCTCCCTTTAGCAGAGAAATTAATTCATAACAATTTATTTTGTTCTTGTACTAATACTGACCCTTATTTAAACATTTTTCCATTCTGACATTTGAGTCCTGAACTTTTTTTTTAACTAGAAGTCATTGACTGCTTGTGTAATAGAAGGTTTAACAAGACTTTATACCAAAACAGTTCAACGATTAAAATTATCAGATGAGTAACAGTAATTGGAAGAACAGACGAGTAATTTTTCTAATTTTGTCTTCCAATCTAAACCAAAGATACTGATAACACAGAGTTCTGATCTTCTATTACACCTCTTGATCTGAGATCATAATGAATTTTCAAACTTTCAGCCATTTCTATAAAACCAGAACTGAAACACAACTATGTTAAAGGATAGCAAGCAGCTGAAACAGAAAAGGGCTCTGAAAGATAAGAAAAAAATACAAAAGAGATTACCTTCAAGGCCAATACTTTTACCTCTGAAGGAGTGGAAAAGTTAAAACCCTCTTAAAAATTAAGAATACGACCTCAAACATTTTAATTGTATTCTTCCCTTTTCCTCATTGGTATATACTGTTTTATGTTTGTAGCATGTCTTGAATTTTTAAATGTAACAGATGAGTATTTATTCCCGCATCTCCATTTTTTTTCACCTTGACTTTTACTTTTTTTTCAAGTTACTATGTGAATATATCTGCTTATATTCAGATCTTTAATCGACCATTTCAACAGAATTTGTCCATAGCTACTGTCATATGGCTATACAAGGAATTGTCCATCTGAATGAATTTACAGTTACAGACATATTTAACATATAAAACCAAAGCAGGGTTAATATGAGAAAAAGAAATTATTCCCACCCCCAACCCAAAAGCCCATGCAATATATTTATCACATCAGTATTTCCCATGTAGTCATCACCAGCACAAGAGAAAAGAAAAAAAAAATCAAACCCATTAAAATCTCTGCATGAAGAGTAAGACATACCAATGCAGTCTTTAACACTGGAACTAAACGAGGCAACAAGGGAATTGCTTTTTCGGTAGCACCTTCAACCGTAAGTAATTCTTTAAAACCCTCCTTTGAAACAAATGTATAGGGATGTTTTGTCTCTCTTAGACCCTGTTGCAAATGTAAAACATGTTTGCTTAATAGTGAGCCTTCTTTTAAACAAAAACACATTAAAAAGTTCCACATGGCAGCAAGATAATGTTTAGAGTTCCTTACATCAGTTCAAAACATAAAATACACTAACTCCACCATGTGGAGCTATTGAGTACAACTCTGCTCAGAGAATATTCTTATTTATTTGTTTTTTAGAAAATTGAATATTAAACCCCATATTATGAATACTGCCAATTCAGCTGATATTTGTACTTCATTACCTTTAATCTAACTACCCAGGGTAATTTTATTAACAATACCATGAACAAGTCTAGGCTATATTTCTAAATAGTTTTCATCCTCTGAAGGAAAAAAAACCCTAGAAGGTGAGCTATGGAAGGAAAGACACTCTCACTACATACACCCCTCTGCAACATCAGAAACTTGCAGTTGGTACGAGTAAGCACTTCTAGTGAAGACCTGACTGGCAGAACTCAAAAATTTAAAACCGTATGGCTGAAGTCTTTCTTCTTTCCATAATAGAAGCTATCAATTACTTTAGGAATTGACAGATTTGTTTAATCTTAGAAAAAAAAAATATATATAAAAAAGCCACCTTTAGAGTATGCACTTTATTCTATCTACGATACTGTATTCAACATTTATTTAGACTCCTGAAACATATTTGGTGATAAATGTGCTGAGAAAACAGAAGCCTGAACATAATGTATAGTATTTCTCTTTCACTTACTTACAGGCTGCTATTTCCACTGTATTAGTTCAATCTATTGAGGAGAGCACTCTTACTTCAGTAAGTAGGCTTTATATACAAAAAGAATCAAAACAATTTTGTTTACAAAAGACCCTGCAAAGCCACAAATGGACTGAAGTGTTTCATTCAACAGTTGGGAATCTGAGATGCAGTCTTGTATTTGGCCAGTATCTCAAAGATTAAATAGCTCTACCTAGCTGTCCCAGAACTTTCTGAAGAACTACAAATGGCAATGTTCATGACTATCTTCATTTATACAAGATCCTTGCAAAAGTTTTTTATAATGTTTCCTAGTAGGTGAGTCTAAGTTAGCTATCTTATCTTGCTACAAAATGCCATTAGGAAATTGCAATTAGGAAATTCTGCATCTTTAACTTTGCAAGAAAATTGAGCTTACCTCTGCCAATGTTACAAGAAGAGGATCAAAGGGAACAGTTTCAGGAAGGCATTCCCATTGCAGTCTGTGCTTTACTGAGCCATGGACTAACCTATATAAAGAATAAAGTTTTAACAAATTAACATATAAGAATACATAATTTATTGTTAACACTATTCACTTTAAATACATCACCAATTGGTTTGCAATATTGTTATGTTATAATGTTATATACACAATTTCAATACATACTGCTCTCCTTAGTCACATGTATAATGGTATTTACCAGTGCTGCAATTATAATTCCCAAATATGGCATTTTCAAAATTCTGCTCCTAATCACATAGAAATCAGAAAACAAAAGTTATAAAAATTATAGATGCCTCCCGTACTGACACAGGATGCTTTGCCAAGTTACTTATTTTGATAAATATCAAGAAATGTTTACATCTGATAACAATTGGAAGGAAAATCAATTGAAACTGAAAGAAAATCATATTGGAATTCATTAATTACTCCTAAGATACAGATAAAGGCTATGTATTGATTATTTTATACATGTATATGCATGTATTAATGATTACTTAAATTTTTGTTAAGTAATTCTACATGCACTTGACAAAATAGTAAAGTGCTTATTGTCCAGGCAAATATATAGCAAACAAAAGTTACTTAACATACCACAAACTATTACATAGAAGTAGTTTTCTTAATATCTGCTATTGCTGACAACTACAGAATTGGAATATTCAAGAAAATGTCGTCATACTACTTACTTCAGACAAAAAAGGACTGCAAGATGTCTACTTAGTAAAATAGCACTAACCTTACTGTCTTTGTTAGTAGGGAGAAATCCATTACTTGAAGAAATCAACTTCATTCATGAAAGATGAAGCAAACCAAATCTACAAATACTTAGCTATTCTTTAAAAATGCAGCTTCAGTATTAACAGAGCATAAAAAAAGAACCAAAAGACAGTCTCAAAGATATGGAAAATTGCTTTCTGTTTTGAGAAATGTTTCAGAAATCTTTTCATAAATGAATGGAATCAAACAGCGTAACTAAAAGATCAAACATGAATAGATGTATTTCAATCTGTGCAATTCTACTTAACCATTATGTATTTAGTAAAATATAAACAAAACCAACACACCTGCAGGGGATGCCACCTTTAGCGTATATAGCAGCAAATGTAGAAGGTGGTTGAGAATAGGCACTAAACTGTGAAGGCAGAAAAAAAAAAATATTCATAACAGTATTGTTTGATAACTATTACGTATATGTTAAAACTGCAGTTTACCAAAAAAGAATTTATTTTGTATGATTTTAAAACTAATTAAAAGAACTGCAGCTGTGGTGGAAAACATATATGGTACATTTGTCAGAAAACTGCTTTTCAGAATTGTCTGCCTAGGAAGTTGTGAAAATTGATAAATAATACAGAATCAATGCTCTCCTGATGAAATACCTTTATTTTTCTATTTTCTCTTGCAAACCTTAACACTCTCCCTAACAAATTAAGAACCTCTCACTTTCCTGATCATAGAATCATAGAATGGTTTGGATTGAAAGGGACCTTAAAGATCATCTAGTTCCACTTTCCCACTCCTCCTGCCGTGGGCAGGGTCACCTTCCACTAGATCACTAGATGCTTCCACTACATTCTCTGATTGTTGTTATATTGGTAACACGCAGAAGGCATACCATTCTGATCTCAGTCTAGACAAAAGTACAAGGTGGCAAGATGTGGGAAAAACACCAAATGTTGGGCAAGATGGTATGAGGGCACTGGAAATCAGTAGGGAGGTTCATACTGGGTGAGAACCTAAGAAGGACTCACTGGAGGAGGAAACTAGGAGCTTCATGGGAAGAAAGCCTGCATAAAGTTGTTTTTTATCACATACACGCTTCTTATGCATATGAACTATGATATTATTTATTAGAGTTATAATTCAGTGCTACTTCCCAGACTAAACACCTTATCACAAAGCATATAGCAGGAAATACAATGAAATCTTAATTTTTATCTTTTAGTGTTTGAATCTACATTGCTAAAATTATGTGCATGATTTGATGACTTCTCGGTTTAATTAAGTCATTGTATTACTTGCAAAAAAAATTTCAAGAAAAAAAATGCCCACATAAAAGTATTCAGCCTCTGTTTACAGCAAACTAGTATCTCTCCAAAGTACACCTGTATTTAGGCCATTTTCCAAAAAGTCTGTGACAATACTAATTGTTTGGCTAAAATGGCGCAATGGTGAGTTATAATTCACCCACTCAAAGCTAGTTCTCCAGGCACAGGGCTTCTGTGAAATAAACAACTCCTTTCATCAGCCTTCTCCTGAGAGCTCAAACTCTTCCCAAAGTATTATGTACTTGGAAGTTTCAAGTATTGCTTGCTATTAAATTGCTAGATTTTATGAAGTCTTGATCATCTTCAAGATGCTAACAGATTTTTGGGTTTCATTGCATAACTGAGATCAGTTCCACTAAAGCAGCAAGTACCAAATTTTATAACTATACCAAAAAAACCCAAACCCTTTTAAATTCTTAGCTCTAAATCTCTTTTTAGGCCAAAAGCCCACAGAAAATAAAAAAGTTAACATCCAAGCCATAATTGTACCAAACCCCTTTTTTTAAAAAAAAGTAATAAATATGTTACACCTCAGGCACTTAAACTTAGAAATCAGGGCATGTATGATTAATAACACAAGTTTAATTTACATTTACAAACAGGACCAGAAGTATCATGTCCTGCCTATATTTCATCAAGTAAGGAAATTCCTTCCAACAAGAGTTCTCTTTTAAACAAACAGAAAACCCACCACCAATACATACTGGATCAATAGTTTTAGGATTCAGCTTGTCACTAGGCTTTGGCTGTGGTTTAATTGCAGGTTCTTCAGAAGGCGGCAAAGGAGAAGATGTCTTGCTTTTCTGTACTGCAGTCTTTGGTTTTATTTGGATGCCTGATGACATCCTTAGAACACTGCTTCCTAGAATAGAAAAAGATTAAAAACATAAAATAATTGTCATTTCTATATGACATAATATCAACCGTTAGATTCACCAGGTCCAAAGACTGACATGAACAATGAATCAAGAAAATCTGAATAAGCGTACTAGAAAATAATTGCTTATTCTTATATATCCTACGCAGTGCATAGGCTAATTTTAACAGTCTTATCACTCCATCTTTCAAATGCACACTTTCCTAATCCTGAGCTGCTCCCCTTCACTTCTGTACTTTGAGATTTACAGCAGAAGGGAAATTAGCTACAGTCTGCCTTTAGGTAGCCTACAGAAATCTGAGCAGCAGTATGGTGCTCAGCAGAACAGCCCAGAGTGAAATTGGCTGGCTGGGTACAGTTACAGCAGAAGACAGTAACAAGCTGAGGAATGGCCGGGATGAAGAAATGAACAGAAGAACAAGTAGATTCAGGACACAAAAACCAAAGTAGAATCAATAAGAGAAGAAAACAAAAGTGTAATGCAGCAAAGAAAGAACATGAAAAATTAATTTCAATTCTATTAAGAAGAACGAAAGTATTTTGTTAAGAAAAAAAAAAAAAGAAAAAATCTTTCTGTATACATCCTTAAATACTGGTTTAGGTACACTATCTTCCAAATATTAATGCAACAGCTATATGTGTTACTATAAATGTATGTAATTGAGTTAAAATTTCCCTAATAAAAATAATAGTCTAGCCTGACACTATGATGAATAATACAAATTATTCCTGGGAAAAGAAAGGTTTTCAAATGTTAATAAAATTATAAAGTGTGAAAATGCTAGTTTTGAATATTATTAATGTTCATGCTGTGGTGTACTCTGGATGGAGAAAACAATTTAGTAAATAAGAAATCACATTCTTTTAGGAAATGAGAGATGACACTATATAGAAATTAAAATAATAGGACACAAGTTAAATAAACAGTGCCACAAGGATGAGCAGGGTGCTTGCCATCCATCCATCACCTTTTGCAAGTTGATGGAACTTGTTTTTGTCAACAACATGATTAAATTCCAGATACTGACATCAGGATGAACTTGACAGGCAGTTTTTTGCCATGCTACTTCCACACCCTCAGCTCTATAAACCACCTGCCCTAATCTCTGCCAGGGTCTTGTACATGCAGTCCTTGTTTAGCTTGGTTATTCTAATTCTTCCCTCCAAACAGAAATTCCAGTCAGGTACTTCTGTCATTATCTAAATGACTAAATCTTTAGGATTACTTCTGTTTCTAGTAAGAAGTGATAAGGTCCAGGCACTTGTGTAGATAATGCTATGTCCTTATGACTTGCAGCAAGAACTAAATGTGGTGCCTAAATCTCACTAAATGTTAAGAAACAACATACAGTAATGATTATTAACTAAAACACAAATACAAAGCAAAACTAAAATTGAAAGTTTAAATCAATACTCCTTGACTGATGATTCAATCAGAACTAGTGGTTCAAACCAGTTAACCCACTGCACATTGTTTTCTCTTTCCTACTGTTTTCAAAATACAGCCTGTCTCCAGTAACATTTTTTTTAAAGAGAAATTAACATACCACAATTAGAGTATTGTCTCTTCAGAACACACAAAAACTTATATGACACTTATGGGAACTATTCTGTTTGTAAAATGCAAATTATTAAAACCAGAAATAATTCAAAGCACTAAAAGACCAATAGCATAGAAAATTTATGGATTTTATGTGCCAGCTTATTATCACAACACTCTAATCACATTACAGTTAGAAAACACATTTTTAACTATCAGAAAAATAAGAATCAAAATGGTTTTACACTATAAAAACACCAGGTAAGTTCTTGACATTAGCATAATAGATCACAAAATAGTGCTATCAGTGTCAACCTTAGAAATGTACAATTGCTCAGAATGCAGTCATCGCATCATCATATTTTTCTCAGAAAAGTATTCAGAAGTAATTCAGATGGATTCAAATTCTTTTCCAAGAAGTAATCAAGATACATGCCAATGACATTACTAAGGTGTTAATTAATGACAAAATATTTCTAGATGCATTTGAGAAGTCACTGGTTTGACCATCAGAGAAAGTAAACAATAAAAGCTGTGACAACAGGCAGGAACAATGTTTTAGCCCATTGAGACAAAAGCAAAGATAGGAGTAAAAGACAGTGATAACGGTTTTGTAAAAACGCAGCTGAGCTAACAGGTCTATGTATTGGCAGAGGAGGAGATGGCAGATAGCGGAAGAAGGACTTTTGATAAGGAGATCTCAGTCTTCAGAGCAAGATGAAAGTTCCTGTGTAGTCAAGAGCTGGGAAAGTCACACACATTTGTAGAGAGATCAGACAGCACAAATCTAGTCGGGAATCAAACGAGTGACATACAAGGTTTGGTACAGAAGTGAACCATCCTACTGGCAGATGACAGACTTCAAGCAAAGGACAGAAATCGTTAAATAGAAATAGAACAAGCACCTTTAAAAGACATGTTTCAAAGGAGGAAAAGTGCGACCTGGAGTTTGGGTTCTAGGAGTCACTTAAGAAAGGCGGAACGAAAGTAAGTAGGATTTTAAAGGCGAGGTTGTTCCCTTACCCTGGTGAGTGTCAGCTCTCCCGGAGCGCAGCTAGGGCAGAGAGCGAAAGAGATACGGGGCATCAAGCACCGTAAGAGGCTCGAACAACAGGCTCTGGCAAGTTACCCCAGAGCCGCCGGACCGATTCTCGCCGACACCGCGGGACATCGAGACCCAGAGACACGCAAGCCGCTCCTCGGGCCCCTCTCCCCTCCCCACACCTCCCACTCTCTCGCGGGGAAGCCCAGACGAGGCGGCCAGAGAGGAGCGCGGGGCCGGTGGGCGGCGGGATGCCCCCTTGTCCGGCCGCACGGGCAGCGCTCCCTGCGGGGCGGCCGGAGGGGGCC